AGCTGAAGGTTGAGTTGATCACCCACGGCCAATAATGTAATGAATCACGCCTACACAATGAAGCTTCCATAAAACCCAAAAGGAAGAGCTTCTGGATAGCTAAACACATGGAAGTTTCTGGAGGGTGGTGCACCTGGAGAGGGCATGGAAGCTCCATTCCCCTTTCCCCATACCTCACCCTATGCATCTCTTCCTTTGTATCCTTTGTAATATCCTTTAATAAGCCTGCGAATGTGTTTCCCTGAGTTCTGTAAGCTGCTCTGGCAAATTAATAGAACCCAAGGGGAGTTGTGAGAACCCTAATTTATAGCCTATTGTTCAGAAGCACTGGCAAAATAACCCAGGGCTAGTGAAATCACCTGGGGCTGGCACTGGAAGTTGGTTCAGTCTTGTGGGATAGAGTCCTCGACCTGTGAGAATTGATGCTGTCTCCAGGAAGAGAGTATCGCGATTGAATTGGAGGACACCCAGCTGGTGTCCCCTGCAGAACTGCTTGGTTGCTATGTGGTGAAAAACCCTCACGCACGTAGTAGTCTGTGTTGATTGTGATGTGAGAGCAGAAGAAAAAGTTGTTTCTACATTGTTTTCTATTTCATTGAAATATACCATTTTTTTTTCCTTTTTGTCTTTTTTTCGTGACCGGTAATGGGATTGCAACCCTCGGTGTCGCGCCCGCACTGCGCTCAACCAGTGAGCGGACCGGTCTCTACATGGGATCCGAACCCTCGGCGGGGCCGGCCCGAAATATACCATTTTTAATCTTTATTATGTCCAATATTTTGTTTGCTTTGGGCATAATTGCTTTTTTCTTTGTAGTTTCTTAAGTCTCAATATCTGGTCCACTAAACAGTTTTATTTCTGTTAATTAACCCAGTGGAGTCTAGGTTAAGCAGCAATATCTTGGCGTTCTGTTACGTGTGACTCGTTGCCTCCAGACTGATTAATTCTGGAGGACAGACTAAATCAAGATTTTGCCCTGGCCATGGAAAGAACCAGACTCCTGGATCACTACAACTTCACTGAGCCTAGTTCTCCCATGTGGCCTGGCCAGTGGTCAGAAATCATTCTCTCATTTTCTTGTAATTAGTAATAATTATTTTACATAGCCACTAAAGATATCCCTTATTCTATCTTACCAAGAGCTAGGAAACTTTTTTTTTTTTTTTACTGGCATCCCTATTTTATTACATTCATTAAAAAATCTGAGTGCCTATTGTAAATGCCAGGTCCTATGTTAGACATCAGGCATAAAGAGATGAATTCATGTCCTCTACATAAATATACAATTTATGATCACCCTACAGTTGTTTCACAGCTGTTTATTTTTTAATTTTTTTGGTGGCTGGCGAGTTTATTTTTGGATAATGGAATTTAGGTTCATTACAACTCCATTAACCATAGAATTATAGAGCTGAGAGAGACTCTGGAGGCAATTCAATCCGACTCCCTCATTTTAGAGATGGGAAAGCCAAGGCCCTGAGAAGTTAAGGAGTTTCCCTGAGGCCACACCAGTAATAAGCGGTAGCTCCAGCTGGATCCTGAATCTAACTTGTCAGAATGATCTCAGGTATGGGGGGACACAAGCTGTGCACCAATAAGGCATTTGCAGAACTCTTTTAACATAAACTGTTACAAATACATGCTTACGCTTTCAGTGGGGAGAATTCCTGATGTGTGGCAGGTACATGGCAGATAGAAAGACCCCATTAAAATGTGCGTTGAAGGAAGCTTCAGTTTATGAGGTTGTTTGTGTCTGTGACTTAAAATCATTTTGTCATATATTTTTCCAGATCAAAGAATGCAACTAATAGGAAAAAGTTTTAGTATGGCATAATAAAACCAGAAAAATATTTTATGTGCCATATTTGTTTACTATAATTTTTAAAATGTCAGCATTCCTTTTACCATTCCTAATTTCCATCAGTTCTTCAAACACATGTAATATCCCAACTCCAACATCATGACCTGATTTGTGGTTTGGACAGATGTGGGAACAGCATCCTCTATTTCCTTTCAGTGCCACTGTCTCGGGAATAGGGTGCAGCCCGTGGGGGCTCAGGAAGTGTGGCTAGCAAGCACAAGCCTCCAAGCCTTCTCCCCACAGCTGGCTTTGGTGCCAGAAGCAGTGCTAGAGAGGCCAGCACCTGCCTCTTGCTTCCTGCTGCAGGGGGGATGAAATCTATAGGTGTCTCAAGAGTGCACGTGGCAGGCTGGTGTGTGTGCGTGCGGGGGCTTGGAGAACTGTCGTGGGTGCCTGAACTGCTCGGGGTTATGAAAATGGCTGGTAGTAACTCCCTCCCCAGGATGCACTCTTTTTCTGCTTAGCACAATCCACCTCCTCTAATGCAAGCTAATTATCCAGTCTGGGTCTCCATTTCTTCATCTGTGAAATGGACTAATGGGATGAGCTCAGAGGGTGTTGTGCAGATTGAATGAGTTAAATGCAAAGCTGTCAGACTAGGGCCCAACACTTTGGTGCTCAGTACCCATCAGTGCTACAGAGATGCAGCCCCACTGAGGGCAGCAGGAACCACACCCCCAAAGGTCTCTGACTGGGGTGCACATACCCCTGTGATACACAGTGACAAAAAACACAGTGCTTCCTCCCAGAGGCTCACTTGAGACCAAGTTAAAGCATATTGTTTAAAATCACGTCTTCCGATGCCTGGGATGTCTGTTTTCTTCTATCTGCCTTTAGGGTTACTCTGTGAAAGGCACCACATCAAGTAAAAATGGGATGAATATGTGGGTTTTAGGACAAAATGCCTCTTTGAAATTCCTAAAACTGGCTGTCCCCTCCTCTGTGGGTGAGGTTGAGGTGTCCTCTCTGCTGCCGTATCTCTCTGTGCATACATACCCTTTATCCATTGGCACCACCCTCTAAATGCTCCTTTAAACAGGTCCCCTCTGTCTTTCCCAACCCCATACCCAGTCACTGGTGCCCCTCACCCACATAAGAATCACTGGTGACAACCGTCTGGCAGCACCTCTGGCTCCCCCTAGAGACCACATTCAGTACATGACCTGGCTGTTTGCAAAGTCTTGAGGAATTCCGAAAGTGCTTTTCCCTTAGAAACAGTGGAGTGGGGGAAAGGGAAAAAAAACGAAAACAGTTAAGTGGGTTCCAGGCTAGCAAATACAATTCTAACGGCCTTTCGTCCAGCTCTGCACAAGGTGTGGTAGGGGCAGCTGGTCCATGATGGGGTAATAGACATCTTTTACAAAAGCATTTTCATTTACCCCAGCGATTTTAATTGAAGGAACCCTCAGGTAGTAAAGTGGGAAACGGAACGGTTCAGCCAGAGAAGTGCTCCAGGACGCACACACTGACCCTTCTATCTGCTTCAGGGGCCAATTCACTCCCGCCAGCACCTTCTCCCTCTCTGATGGGAGTTCTGATTCCCAGGGTCCAAGTTCCTAGCCCCAGCACTTGCTAGCTGTGACACCTTTGGCACACTACTGCCTCTCTCTGCCTCAGTTTCCTCTTGTATAATATGGGGACTCTAAGGCCGGTCCATGGCTCACTTGGGAGAGTGTGTTGCTAGCACCACCAGGTCAAGGGTTAAGATCCCCTTACGGGTCATCTTTAAAAAAAAAATGGGGACTCTATGGACGCCTTGTTAGGTCCTGAGGAGGATGAAATGCACTAAGTTGTGTAGTACAGGGCTGGGGTCTGGGGTGCACCCACAGTGAACAGCAGCTGTTGAAGCAGTGGATGTATGGGTTCCAGTGGGTGTTGAGGCAGTGCTGGGTGCCTGTTCTTTGTATGATCACTAATTTTCAAAGTGTGATCCCCAGCATCAGCATGTCCTGGGAACTTGTCAGAAATACAAGTCCTCAGGCTCCTTCCCAGACTGATGGAACTAGAAATGCTGGGGCCCACTAGTCTGTGTCAATGGCCCTCCAGGTGACTCTGATGTGTGATCAAGCTTGAGAGCTGGTGCAGATTAATCATTTTTTAAAAAAGTCCTTCAGTACCACAGCACTGATTCATCCTCTGGAGCTGGAACAAGATGCGTAACAAAACACATGACTCCGGTGTCAGAGGTGAACTCTGAATCTCCCACGATCTGATCTAATACCGACTTCCACTGGTGCTGTGTATCATGCTTTCACACAAACTCCTCCTGGAGCCCAACAACCCTCATACAAGGCAGCTTTTAACCCCACCTTAGAAGAAACTGAGGATCAGAAAGATCTCACAGTATGTGGCATCATTTGTTGGGCACCTACCATGGGTCAGACCTGATGCCAAATGCTGGAGACAAAAATGAAAAACAGGGAGGTTTCCACCCTCAAAGGGAAAGACAGATACCCACCCAGAGGTTAGGCCATCACTTCCATGGTACAGCTGAGCTCCCACTAAACTGCAAAGTACTAGATTTCAAGTTCTACCCTTGTGCTTACTGCTTTAGAACCTTTTTTGCATCTATTCTAGGGGTTTTGGTCCTTGTCTTACATGGAGATAAGTATTATGCATTATTCAGCATTTGATATTAGCCTAACTAGAAGAAGTATCAATTGGCTTTTATGTATTATGTACTTTGTCTTAGAAGTGATCATTTCCTAATAAAATTTTCTACTAGAGCTTATAATTTTGCCTACCCTGTGACTGAATGCTACCTTCTCTCAAAAGCACTTTACAGTTTAAATAATGCTTTGCCATCCCTTCTCTTATTGACTCTCATAATAACTCTAAGTTAAAACTCACATAATTAACACCTCCACTTTCCAAATGAGAGAACAGAGGCTCAGAGAGGCCATGAGGTAGATAAGTGGCAGAATCACACGTTTCACACACATTTACTGAATATTAAAATTCTTGAATGAGTGCCTAGATCCTGATCACTAACTCCTGTGACATTCAGGGTGTTTATGCTTCAGTTCCTTGGGCTTCCTAAGGATGAACAGCTCAGTGGTATTCTGACTGCATTGCTGCATTTCAAAAAACCTACACAGGAGGGAGCTGAGAGGGGAACACACTGAAAGCAGTCCCAGTATGGGTAGTAGTGATCTCACACACATTTATTCATGCCGAGAAGTCCATGGTACTTATATAAGTGTACAGTGATGTTCCATGTTCCCGTCTAACACAGCTTGCTTAAATTTACAGGCAGACTGATGTTTCATCTCATGTGCTTTCCAAGTAAAGCTGGTTAATGACCATGAGCAGGACCAGGACTTGAACCTTTCAAAAGAGATGCATAATACAGGTACAATTTAGGAAGGAAGAAACAAGTAGAATATAGCTTATTATATAACTATCAACAAATCAGAACATGTAAATGACAATTTCCAATACTATAAAAAAGCATGGAGGATCATTTCTATACAGAACACCCAGCATGTGGAAGGGTTTGTGTAAATGACAGCTCTCATGCAGCTGCTCACCCAAGGGACAAAGGTGAGAGGGGCAGGACACTCCTCTTCCTCAAAGCTCACAGAGCCAGTCCTGGGTTTGTGTAAGACTCAAACGATGAAGTTTCATTGTCATCAGGGAAACATAGCATACATTTAAAAGGTGCTTTCTAGGGCTGGCCCCTTACTCATTTGGGAGAGAGTGATGCTGACAACACCGAGTCAAGGATTAAGATCCCCTTACCAGTCATCTTTAAAAAAATAAATAAATAAATAAGTAAAAATTAATAAAAGGTGCTTTCTTTTGAAACACATTAAAAAGACATCATTAGGGAATTTCACAGGATAGGATGGTTGCACAGCTAGTTTGCATTTCCCTATTGGTAGCAACTCCTAATTTTTCTTTTCTTTTTTTTGGGCGATTGGAACAGTTGACCTTGGTATTGTAATACTGTGTTCTAACCAACTGAGCTAACTCGCCAGCCCCGATTAATCCATTTTTCTATTACTCATTGAAGTTTTACTTGACTCAACTGGGTGAGCAGTGGTTTTTAACATCCAGACTATAAAAAGCAGAAATTTCAGAATTCTCTTTTCTAGCAGGCATGGCAAACTTCATGTCCTGAAGAATTTCTATGGCATCTTATACATTTACTGAACCATGTATCAATTTCAATTCAGAACAATGATTATATCCTGTCCCAAAAAGATAAGTTGGTGTTTTCATTCCCTAACCATCTTTTTTTGTAAAAAAGATGACCGGTAAGGGGATCTTAACCCTTGTCTTGGTGTTGTCAGCACCACGCTCAGCCAGTGAGCCAACCGGCCATCCCTATATAGGATCCGAACCCGTGGCCTTGGTGTTATCAGCACCGCACTCTCCCGAGTGAGCCACAGGCCGTCCCCCTAACCATCTTAAGAAGCAAAAATCTTACCTTTCGAAGCTTTACTTCTTTTATCTAAAATAAAAGGAAAAAACTGGTCATATCAACCCTTTACAAAAATGCCTTTAGTTAATTCATCATCAAAATCAACATTTAGCTGAAGGCTTCATAGCTTAGGTAAAGCAATTACAAGAAGCTTTCAGAAAACAGAAAGTTACTGTAATGTCTCATAGTCAAGAGGTGGTAAAATTTCTACAAAAGATGTCCTAAGAACAGTGAAGAGCTCTTCCAAATTTGTATGGCTCTTCACCCCCCTAACATATCCTAAACTCTAGTCTTTCAGTTTAAAGTTCTCTTCTTTCTTTCCTCTTTTTAATCAGTGGCTTAGTAATACTTGACAAGGCCTTATCTCTGCTCTACTGTGAACCACATGGTTATTCCTCTTCTCCAAATTTTATTATGAAGAAATTTCATATATTACAAACAGCTGAAAAAGTATAATACACAGCATACCATGACGCTATACCCATAAATATTTCAGCCTGCATCTCTTAATAAGAAAGACATCGCCTCTATATTCATAATACCACTGTCACACCTAAGAAAATCGACAATTCCCTGATATCAAGGTCTTGTTCAAATTTCCCCAATTGTCCTCAAATGCCTTTTATAGCTGACAAGCGCTCCCTCTAGATTCACAAAGCACCACAGGTGGCTCTGATGTTCACACTTAGTTAAGAATCATAGTTCCTATACAACGTCAATTTTGATTCTTTTTGAAAATAATTTTCTTCCTGAACTCAAACGAATCAAATTAAAAAAACTTACCAGCACTCCTAATTTTATAAACGATGAAGCCCATCAACCCCATTCCTATCCAAATTTCCTGGTAAACTTGGGTATAGTAAGGCTTCATGGGGATCCAAACATTTTTAATAATGCTTTGAAGCATCTGAAAATGAACACAGTGATAAATATTAAGATGGCTATTGTTCTACCTACCCGGTAAGAGATTTTCATTTAAGTCTGACCCTGTTTCTCATGATGACCCAATAGGGAGCCAAGCTTGTGCCAGACACATGCCAGAAGCACAGCCTCATGCTCTCCACAGCTCTTCAAGCTCAATCTGCCCCTCAATGTCGCCCACCCCCAACCCTTGGCCATCCTGGCTCAATCTCCTCTTCCCTCAAGTCCTAGAGCTCTCCTACCATGTCCCCCCTCTCCAAGGCTCTCCTCCACTAATGCTATGCCTGAAATCACACACCACTCTTCTAACTTTCAAATGGAAAAACTAGTATGTTCCCATCTAGCCATTAAGAACTGCTGGCATTCTAAGCTAAAAAAGAAAAACAAAAAACATGATCAGAGCATAGTTTCTTATGAAACTAACCCAGGCTTGGGTGAACTTTGATTAGCTGTATCTCAGTCTTGAAGTCTACTGCTAAATACAAAACAGATGGCATAAGATCATTTCATGAGAACTGTGAATTATGATAGAACTTAATGAATAAAAACAATTATTTAAGTAATTATTGGATTTGATTGGGAAAAGCCATTAAATCCTGAACTTACAGTTGGCTTTTATGTGCAGGTCTCAAAGTAATGCTTTTGATTATTTTTACAATTTACTCCAGTACAGACCCAAAATTAAACACCCTTATTTTCATTTTAATAGGCTTCATAATCTTCAGTGCTCTATTAAACTACAGCCACTGAAACAGTTGTCAGGAATGACTAGGTGTGAGCACTCCTCATCTCACTTGGAGACTGCTTTGGCTGCAGTCTGCACCGCTGTCTCACCCTGCCCTGCCCTCTGCTCTTTTCACATTGCCACTTAGGTTACACAGAATGCGACTTCTCTTCGGTGCTTTCTGAGTCTACACATTTCCCAGCTGTGCGGTGTGTGTCAGTTTTACAGTGCCTAATCCTTCAAAAGCCCAACCTACTCAAAGGTCAAATGGCTGCCCACAAACTACTGAAACCTGGATTGTGTGGTCATTTATCCATTTACTGAGCATGTCCTAGACGCCAGACATTGTTGTAGAAGCTGACAAACAAGATAGAACCAGAATATCTAGGAAAAGTGTCCTCGGTAGACGCAATGTATGTGCCAAGACCCCGAGGTCAGAATGCACTTGAAGAGGTGGGAGGAATAGGAAAAAGGCCACAGTGGCTATCCAGATTCAAATCCTGGCTGTCATCTACTAGATAACTTAAATTGCCTCAGCTTCCTCATCTGTAAAATAAGGATAAAAACAAGGGTAAAGGGCCGGCCCGTGGCTCACTCGGTAGAGTGCGGTGCTGATAACACCAAGGCCCCGGGTTCGGATCCCACATAGGGATGGCCGGTTCGCTCACTGGCTGAGTGTGGTGCTGACAACACCAAGTCAAGGGTTAAGATCCCCTTACCGGTCATCTTTAAAAAAAAAAAAAAAAAAAAAAAAGAGTAAAAAAAAAATCAAGTGTTTAGTGTCTGGTATCATATAGTAAGTGCTTGTTAGATAAAATGCTATGACTGAACTACAGGAAAGAAGACAGGCCAGGTCATTTAGGGCCTTGGAGGCCACGAGAGAGTTTAGCTTTTATTTGAAGAATGTTCCCCAAACTTAACAGCATTTACTTAATACTTTACATACTTATTTTCTGCCCTACTCCCCACCTGTACAATGTGGGTACTAGGAGAAAGTTGCTCCAGAGCCCACAACATTTAAGTAGGATTGGGCTCACACCAAATCTATAAGTTACCCAGGTCCATGTTCCTGATTGCGATGAGAGTCTGACTGCAAGGCTTGGCTTCCTGCTCCTCCTCCCTAGGAGAGAACTTATTTAGGCTGAGGAATGGTCCTGAAGGCTGGTCCTCTGAGTGTGACCTTGTAGGATGTGGCTGTGTTCTTCTGAAACCCCTTGCAGATTCGAGGGGACTTAAAAAAGTTAGTGGAAAAGTAGAATTAAAAGATAATGATTTTTTCCATGAACTTTCTGAAGTACCCCTGTACATCTGCCCTCAAATTTCCTGTCCTCAGACCATACCCAGATGCTCTAACAGAGCATGAGTTTCCAAGAAACCAACAGCTCTGCCTTGAAAAGGTGCCTGACAGCATCTAAACAGGACCCAGAGGAGGTCTCTGGAAGCCCCAGACTAGAAGAGCTCAGAGTGATGGAGTGGATTTCTCTCCTCCTGAGATCAGCAACGACTGGAAAGGAGCGTTCTAGAGGACCAATGGGGTTGGAAGCCTGGGTTCCAGCACCAGCTCTGCCTGCTCTGCTCTCAACCTTGAGCAAGTCCCTGAAGCTGTTTTTTCAGAGGTTTGATTTTTGTGAGACAGGGATACCTCTACCTGTTCCAGAGAGCTCTCTATGGAATGCAAGGAGGAAACACGAAAGGCCCAGCCTGCTGCCTGGCATGGAGTAAGAATTCAGTAAGCACTCACAGCAGTAATAGAAAGAACTGCTACGAATGCCCACTGATGGCAATACTACTAGGCCAAAGGGATCTTAAGAGAGGAAGAACTTAAAAAGATTCCCTCGTTTAGGTCAGGTAGGGGCTTTAGAGAGAGCGAGATCATATGAGAATCTAGAAAGAAAAGGGCAAAGTAAACTGAGAGGGTACAAAGGCGGTAAGAAGGAGCCAGAGAAACCTCATCTACCTTGATACTGTGCTCAGGGCCTAGGCGCCCCGGTAGTCTCCTCACCAAAAATTACCTTAGGTCCCTGGTAAAGTAGAGACCTGCTATATAGTATATTGCAAATATTTACCTTCTTTTTTCTCCTTTTCCCTTAGCCTTCCTTTTGGCCGAGGTTGCCATATTTGGCTAGACAAAGTGGCATGTTTCCAATATTTAATAAAGTGAAGGCCCCTACTTTTTCCACCTGAGTCCATTCTGTCCAGCCACATGTCCCAGCTGTGTGTGTCAGTTTTACAGCACCAGATCCTTAAAAACCCCATCATATTTGAATATGTGGTCAAATAGGTGTCTACTATATCCGTTTAAGTCTGCAACGTTTTGGCATTTTACCTTAACAGCAAACTACTATCTGACCTTACACCGGAAATAGGAAATGTCTGACCTACTGAGCCCCAGACTGGGATTTACAGTCCGAGTTCCACAGTTTTGGTTGTCACCATTTGATCTTGTTTTAGCTTCCGTTTCCCCTCTCCCAAGGCCTTGTCATATTACAGTACGACTTGAAGAACAAGCGTGCTGCGGGGAGACTTGAGTTGTAAAGGGGAGAAGGCACTGAATTTGGGATGAGCACTCTTGGCTTGGCTTCTAGCTCCATCACTAGCTGCGGAACCTCGCTTAGGTAGCTGAACTCACAACCAAAGCACGCTCCTTGTCAAAACCGTACGATGGCACAGGTGCACAGGCCGCAGGAAGGCGCAGCGCCGGCCGAGGAGACCCTTCCCGCCGGGGGCTAATCCCCGGACCGCCTCCCTTTACGATTTGAGCGGCCGGGGGCTCGGTCCCAACGTCAGCCGGGCCCCTCCCGCCCGCTCCCCGCCCCCACGGCGGGGGCCAGGCCTGGTCCCCACAGGCTCCGGGCTCACCATCCCGCCCCCATCACGGTCCGGGCCGCCCCGAACCGAGAAGCCAGAGGGCCGCGGGCCCCGCACTCACCTCCGCGAAGGACTAACTGCTTAAGCCGCAACAGAGATCCGCAGCCGCTGACTCCGGAAGGTCACCGAGTGCGCAGGCGCCGCGCGGGGCCCGCCGGGAAAGCGGAAGGAGCTGCAGCGTCCCAAGGCCAGAGCGCCTCCCAGTCCGCGTCTGCGCACCACAGCGCCCCCGGTGGCCGCGCCGCCCCGGTGCGGCAGGCAAGCGGCGGCCCAGGTGGGAGGCCGGCGAGGCCTCGGGTAGGGCCGGGTAGGGCCGGGTAGGGCCGGGTAGGGCCGGGCCGGGCCGG